TCGTAAGATCACTAAGTGTGTCACTCCTATCTGTTGTGTGAGCCTGATACCAGGACTCTATCACATCAACCTGTCAAGGATCAAAACAATATGTGATTGATATGTTAATTGTTTATAGACAAACAACAGGTATAAATAGAAGGGTTCATCAGAACCCCTTATCAAGTAAATGGTTGCAACTAAAAAGAGTATTCAGGCACAAGAGCAAGATGGCTCAGCAGCTGAACACAACACTATCAATCACTGACTATAAAAGAAGCGACATTTTGAGAACCCCAAGAATGGAACCGGAATCTTCAGTAAACAGTACATCCAACAATCATTCTCTCTAGGGTATTTTACTATGATCATTCTTACTAGGGTAGGTATGGTAAAGTGAGGTGGTTAAAGTAATTTACTAAGATCATTCTTACTAGGGTAGATTACATTGATCATTCTTAATAGGGTGGAATATTCTTGTTAAGGTAATCTACTATGACTATTCTACTAGAGTAGTTTAGTAGGGTAGTTCTTATTGGAATAATTATACTAGGGTGGAATATCAGGGTAGTTTATTAAGATCATTCTTAGTATGGTAGTTTAGTAGGGTGAATAATAGGATATTCTTACTAAGGTAGTTCTTACTAAGGTCATTCTTATTACTACCCTAACTACCATTTACTCTACCTTTCCACCCATGGTATCAAGTGAGGAAACAAGAAGACTCCACGTGAACATGTGCTGGTTCATAGACTTAGACTGTATGGAATCAGTGGATCTGATACTGAAAACAGGACTGAAAAGGTGGCTACAAGAAGGAAGAGCTGGTGAAATGGGAGTAGTGAGAATGGCAGCAGTTGCTAGGCATTACACGAGAGTAGGAGAGGTAGAAATGGCTGAGAAAGTGCTAGAAGCAAGGGAGACTGAAGGAGAGGAAGAAGGAGGACGAGAGTACGTGGTGGAATACGCCAGAAAGCAGGCTGAGATTGCCAGAGGGGCTGAATACGAAGTGGAGGAGAAGGCAGGAAACAAGAAGGAGGCTTTTGGCCTCTATCTTTACCTATGCTCCATGCGCAGAAACAAAACAAACAAAATAGCTGAGACGAACAAAATAGCTGAATGCGTCTATGCGATACTAAGGAAGCTGCCTGAATTCAGGGAGGCCCTCGACTGTGGAATTGCGCTCCTGGTTGCGAACAGGGGCGTCCTGGACGTCGATCGAATCGAAAACGGCCACCTGCGCCAGCACGGCCACTTCGTGCTCTCGATCCACGGGCAGGCGACTCAGCGGATTCCGATCCGCCCTGAGCTCGTCCTCGACGAGGAGGAGTTTGCGGTCTTCGAGCACTTCATCGGCCGTGGCACGGCCGATCTGCTGCTCCGTCGGAGCAGAACGTTCCTTGGCGCCGTCATCGGCGCCATTGAAATCGTGAGACGGTCGNTCGAAAACGGCCACCTGCGCCAGCACGGCCACTTCGTGCTCTCGATCCACGGGCAGGCGACTCAGCGGATTCCGATCCGCCCTGAGCTCGTCCTCGACGAGGAGGAGTTTGCGGTCTTCGAGCACTTCATCGGCCGTGGCACGGCCGATCTGCTGCTCCGTCGGAGCAGAACGTTCCTTGGCGCCGTCATCGGCGCCATTGAAATCGTGAGACGGTCGCTGCCAAAGAGCGAAATTGCTGCCATTTTGGAGGCGATTCCCGAGGACGCCGAAATGAGGGAGCTGAGGGCGCTGCTGCTCGCGCCTCTTCGCGAGGGAGGAGGCGCCTGAGCACCGGTCTCGCGCCGTCTTCCACGTCAATGCCGCCTACTCGTTGAACTGCTCGAAATATTTCTATTCGATGGGCAGCATCCTCTACGACGTGAGGGAGTACGAGCACGCCCTCTTCGTTCTGGGCCGAGTTGCCGATGGCGGAGCCAAGGGCGTCTCCTGCTGCGTCCTATCGAACTCGAATAAGCTGCTTGGTCGCATCTACTTCAAGTACAACATGTACGAGACAGCGATAGAGCACTTTCGTGCTGCATTGCACGAGTGTGGTGAGGCTGACTACGATGCTCTTCTCTACCTGGCTGAGATGTACAAGAAGATGAATGATTTGAGTAACACGGTTGAATGCTACCAGGAATACTTGAGAAGGAGTATTGGGAAGAATAATGGGAAGAATAGTGAAAAGAATAGTGAAAAGAATAGTGAAAAGAATAGTGAAAAGAATAGTGAAAAGAATAGTGAAAAGAATAGTGAGAATAGGCAAAGAATACAGGAATACTTAGAAGAGTGTAGTGGTAGTGGTAGTAGGGTGGTATAGTAGGGTGGTATAGTAGGGTGGTATAATAGGGTAGTAATAATAACTGTAGTAGTAGGGTAGTTAGTGATATAAGAAGTAGCAGTAAATATAATAATAAGAATAGTAGCCTATACTCTTTTAAGTGTAACTCCTGTAGTCCTGTATCCTAGCCTATAAGAGTGTGTTAAATTGGATGTATCTAAGTATAAACAGTAGTTTGTCCCCATTTTAGTATATTACACTTACTATCCTACTACTACCCTAGTAACTATTACTACCCTAATAACTTAACTACCCTAGTAACTTACTACCCTATTATCACCCTATTACTACCCTAGTAACTTAACTACCCTAATATTATCACCCTAATACTACCACCCTATTTATTATCACCCTACTAACTACCCTTACTATCTTTTCCTTCCCTTACCCCCCTATATTTATGACTAGTAAAACACTTTCATCTAAATTGAGTCACATTCAACTGAATCAATTCAATACAGTGACCGTATCCACTGATCCACCCCAATCAGCCCTGAACATCCTGTTCATCGGCCACGTCGATGCTGGCAAATCGACGATCTGCGGCCGAATCCTCGTTGATCTCGGCCTCGTTGAAGAGCGAATCATCGCCAAATACCGAAAGGAGGCGGAAGAGTGCAGCAGAGGCGGCT